GGGTCACCCCCCCTGGCCTGCCGTGGGTACCACGACCCAGCAAAACAGGATGAGTCACTATGCAAACTAGTATGGCCAGACACCCCCCATGGAGAGGAACAAAGGAAGGGGGATGCTGCCCTGGCTGGGGGGCAGGGCGGGAAGAGAGTTAGTTCCTGTCTGGAAAGCAGGGGAGAAGGAGCTGGGGAGGGGGGCTGGGACTCCCCTATCTCAAGGGGAGCACTGAGACCTCTTAGCCCCAGTTCCTGTAACCAGATTACATCTGTGCTGCGCTGTGCTGGAGGAGCAATAAACCCCCCTCAATTCCACTGGCTGGTGGAGTCTGTTTGTGCCATTTCGGGGTGCAGGAGACGGGGGACCCCCAACACGCCGTCACAGCTACCCATTAATTTCATTTGGTGTCCTCTAGTTCTTCTATTATGGGAACAAGTAGATATCTTTTCTTTATTCACCCTCTCCACACCACCTATGATTTTAGAGACCTCTATCATATCCCCCCTCAGTGTCCTCAATATTTGGAGTGGGTGAGACACTGTCTAAGACCCCAAATATAACCAAGATTTCCGTTTTGCTAATTTGGACAGAATAGTGGGATTTGCAGAGGCCATGGCTGCTACTGACACCACTATTCAAAATCTGCTAGACAATATTAATAGACAATTGGGCCCTGAAGATTTCGTGCACCTTAGATGCCCTGGGTCTCAACCAGCCCCTTTTTTCTCTGCGCAGGTCTTGGGAAGATTTAAACACGGCAGATTTTTTGAAGCACTTTGTTTCAGTGGTGCAGAGTAATGCGGGGGTCGTGGGGACCAGGACTTGAAGCTTGGTTGTGACGATTATCAAAACAGGGCGGGCAAAGGGTCTGCAAGATCCCTAAAGGCTATCACGTACCGTAAATCATAGGGAAAAAAAGAAAGCATGTAACTGACCTACATGATCAGGGAAATAACGTGTGCTTTGCTGGCAGCATCCTGGGTCTGTTATTAAGTGAAAGACTCACAAACGCCCAATTATGAGAAGGGGCCAGACGCCTCTACCAGGCGCTGGGGTTTCTGGACCCAAAAATGATCAGTTCATATTGGCTAGACAAACTCAGCCACGTAAGCGCAAAGGAACGGACGCCTTTTAACTAGGGATGCAAAAACCCATGTAATCAGTTAACCGGTCAAGTGCTATGTTTATCCAGTGAACCGTTTAGCCAGAATCTCACAGGCAGGGGGCCCAGTCAGACTGGAGTGTCCCCCGCTCGATGATATCTACCAGTTAACCGGTTACATCCCTACTTTTAACCCGTCAATTTGGCTTCTTCTACAAGCCTGTCTGCACCAGCCCAGATAAGCAGGTAGCACACCACACAAGGCAACAGGCTGCGTGTCACTCCCTAAAAAAGGATAGTGATAGAGATGCAGCCATGTTAGTCTGGTGCAGCTGAAACAAAAAACAGGACTATGTAGCACTTTGAAGACTAACAAGATGGTTTATTAGGTGATGAGCTTTCGTGGGCCAGACCCACTTCCTCAGATCAAATAGTGGAAGAAATTGATCTGAGGAAGTGGGTCTGGCCCATAAAAGCTCATCACCTAATAAACCATCTTGTTAGTCTTTAAAGTGCTACATAGTCCTGGTTTTTGTTCCTAAAAAAGGAAGCCAAGCTGATCACTTAGGGTATGTCTACACTGCCACCCTAGTTCGAACTAGGGTGGCTAATGTAGGCATTCGAAGTTGCAAATGAAGCCCGGGATTTAAATATTCCGGGCTTGATTTGCATCTTGCCGGGCGCCACCATTTTAAAATCCCCGTTAGTGCGGACTTCGTGCCCGCGGCTACACGCGGCATGGAGTAGGGAGTTCGAATTAGGCTCTCTTTGGGGGTTCCAAAGAGGATGGAGAGAGGCTGTTCTCAGTAGTGACAGATGGCAGAACAAGGAGCAATGGTCTCAAGTTGTGGTGGGAGAGGTCCAGGTTGGATATTAGGAAAAACTATTTCCCTAGGAGGGTGGTGAAGCACTGGAATGGGTTACCTAGGGAAGTAGTGGAGTCTCCATCCCTAGAGGTGTTTAAGTCTCGGCTTGACAAAGCCCTGGCCGGGTTGATTTCGTTGGGATTGGTCCTGCCTGGAGCAGGGGGCTGGACTTGACCTTCTGGGGTCTCTTCCAGCCCTTTGGTTCTATGAGTCTATGGCTGTGTCCAGACTCAGGGGGTTTTTCGGGAAAAGTAGCCTTTTTCCGAAAAAACTTCCCCTGCGTCCAGACTCAAGCCGCGTTCTTTCGAAATTAAATCGAAAGAACGCGGCTTTTCTTTTGATGGCAGTAAACCTCATTTCACGAGGAAGAACGCCTTCTTTCGAAAGTTCCTCTTTCGAAAGAAGGCGTTCTTCAATGTAAAGAGGGCTTCTTCGAAAGAGAGCATCCAGACTCACTGGATGCTTTCTTTCGAAAAAGCAAGCCGCTTTTTCGAAAGTTCAACGTGCAGTCTAGACGCTCTCTTTCGAAAGAGGCTTGCAGTCTAGACATAGACTATGAGTTTTACAGACTGAGCTCTTTCGAAGAGTGCTTAGGCATGACTATCGCTGTGCTGCGTCATGAAAAGAGGAATTGGTACTTTTTGACAATGGGGGGGGGGTACGATACCCCAAGACTGGTTTTGTATTGTTACATGACAAGCATTATTGCGGTGTTTTAAACATTACTCCCTTGATGGGGCCCCGTATCTGTGCAACGACTGTTCCGCCACAAACAACCACAAACACCAGCACGCCTGTAAAAGCCGCTGTGGTACTTGTCATGGGGCTGTGTGCAGTGAAGTGGTCGCCAAAAAAAGCGCTGTCCCAGCTGTAAGCTGTTTTGCCGGTCTGAGGCCTGTTTAGAAAGACACCAGGCGCTGGCGGCTGCTGGTAAAGTTGATTGTAAAACCAGACGCCTTTGAGATAAGTGCGGCTTCTACGTTGCCAAAAATCACAAGCGTAAAAGGAAGACGTGCCCCCAGTGTTACCAAAAGACAGACAACAGAGGACCATGAGTGTTACATGCGTAACATCTTGTCTCCGGAGGAGGGGGAGGACTATGTGTTTTATGATTTTGAATGTATGCAATAAACAAGGGTGCACGTGTCAAATTATGTGTATGCCTTACACTTAAATAAAAAGACAGCTGGGAATTTAAGGGTGTAGAATGCGTCAGCGATTTTGCACGAACCTTTGTAGACAAGCACTTTAAGGACTACACTTTTATTGCTCATAACGCTAAAGGTTACGATTGTTATTTTGTCCTGAGACAGCTGATTAAGGAAAAAATGCCCATCAGCCCCGTAATGCAAGGCAGAAAACTACCGTGTGTAACGGTGATGAACTTCAACATCAGGTTCATAGATTCTTTAAATTTTCTACCCACGAAACTTAGCAAGTTACCCAAAGCTATGGGATTCGAGGGGGTCAAAGGAGGGGTTATCAGACACTTTTAATGATGAACAACTACTTCCTAGCAATAAAGCGAATACGGTGATTATAGATGACCTGATGGAGTTTGTATCTGACAGTGGTGAAATCGAAAAAGCCTTTACAAAATACATACACCACAGAAACTTAAGGGTTATGTACATTGTGCAAAACATTTTTTGTCGGGGAAAAAAAGCAGAACGATTAATTTAAATACTAAGTACAGTAAAACTCCAATTGTCCGGCATCCAGTGGTCCAGCACTCCCGATAGCCCGGCACAAACTGGAACCCGGAAGTGCTCCAGCCAGCCGGACAATTGGAGCTGCTCCGCGCCGCTTCCCCAAGTCCACTGCTGCCGCTGCTGAAACTGAGGAGCAGCGGGGCTTTTGAGGACACTACCAAAAAGCCTTACAGGTATCTGCTGGTGGATTTAAACCCTTTGACGCCTGAAGCCTACAGGCTAAGAACAAGGCTTTCCCCCGCGACTGGCCCTGCAGATACGTCTTTTTAAAAGCTTATAAAAAATAGTCGGTTGTACCGAGCGCCCCATTTTATAGAAGAGCGGCCCCACACAAGCATATCCAGGTGTGTGCAGAGAAACCTGGCTCTTTTAAGGCTCCTCATAAAAGCCAAGCCACAGCAAAGGAAAGCTATTCTCTGCGCGGCCTGCGAGGACTGGGTAGCGGCCATCTCAGAAATAGCGCTCAACACTTTCAAGGGCAACGTCCCCCCGAAACCGCGCCGAATAAGTGTGCTGAAAAAAAGCCAGGCGGCAATCAAAAACCTGAGCAATAAAAGACTGTCCCTCAAAAAGACGAAGCTAATTGTCAAGCAGTCCAGAGGGTTTATCCGCCTCTTGTTGAGCTTCGCCCTCCCTCTGCTGTCAGGAACAGAGAATGGGACACACTGAAAAAATGTATCTGGTGCCTAGCCGCCAGCTGGATCAGCTGAAAGGCGCCTCTCGCGGGAAAAGAAGTGTCAGAACCACAACCGCTCAGTGGCTGGATTCGGAAATGAAAGACATTCGTCAAAGAACCGCTTAGCCGACTACGAGAAGGCTAAACTGTATGAAAGGATCCTGCAAAGATACCTGATGTTGGACAGGCAGGGGGCAGGGGAAAAGACTACAATAAGTCTCTTTCTCCCCGAGCACGCGAGAGAAGTGCCCGGGAAAACCATCCCTCCGAAGCCGCGGCGAGCCCTACGGACTTTGTGATTT